CAAAGAATTTTAGATTGAGGTAGATCATAGCTACAGAAAAAGTAACTGTCCTCCAAGGATTATTTTTTTCCCACCCCACCTCAGTGGCTGGCAGGAGCAGTAGGCTTTGTTTATAACATGCAGTGTTGGTGAGTTTCAGTAATGATAATGGACTTTAGAAGTGAAAGAGGCACGTGGCAAAATCATTTATTAGAATTTGCACCGTAAATTGTTTAGAAGTCATTCTGATCACTTCTGCAAAGAAACTGATCACAACAGGACAACATAATAGGCTGTATATAGTAGCAGTGTTCTATGTAAATATACCAGTGTCTGAGTAATACACAGGTGCTAACTGGAAACCTGTATCCTGCTGCTCCATTTCATTAAGTTCTTAATATTAAACCTCCACAAAATTAACTGAGAGCCTGACATCTTGAAAAGAATATTGTTTTCTTGGTTGTGTGAGGATTTTTACCTTTCTCTTAAAAAGGGGGTGTTTTCTGTAACAACTTAATAGCACAACTATATATAAGAACAGTAATTACAAAATAATAGATATTTCCAAAATTACTTTGGATGGAAAATGACACAGAAGCACTCAAATTTGTAATTTTTAACTCAGCTGTTATAAATACCACTACAATAAAATTTATATAGTTAGTGCTGAATTTTTTTTAGTTTTAAATCATGTCTTAGCTGCTGCATTGCCTTTATATGTTTATATCTTTATACTTACATGTTTATTTGTACATGTGCACACAGAGAGATGTTGGCTCAGATTATGTCTCACAACTCCTTGTGGGCTTAATGGAAAATTAATGGAACTGTGTTTATGGCACAGATCACAGAACTGTGTAGCCCTTAGCACATGCTATCAAAGCACATGAGACATTTAACCTGTAGCAGCTCAAGTGGTATTTTACACTTCAGTGAAATATTTTTCACATTATTTTTTTTCATTCATTATTTTTCACAGTAGTTCTCTAGAAGAGCTTTTGCTGCCCACATCTTACAAGTGCACATCCTAAAGCTTAGTATCAGAACCATTCCTGTAAAGAACCATTCTTAATCAAGTAGATTAGGTTTTCCCTTACATTACACAGCTGGTTTGAGGTAACCCTGTAAGTTAATCATATTAGAATCAGAGTTGATGTCAGCTCTGAGCCTGAGAAGCTGTCCCAGCTCGTTCATATGTAAGATGTGTTAGCCCAAAAGGGTATTCAGGTGGCTCTTCAGTCTCTGTTTTAGTCTGACTTCAGGTAGATCACTGAGAAAATACTTATATAAACTCTCCCAAGGGCTGCCAGGGCTGGAGGCACCTGGTTCATCTGAGTAGTCTTTGCCACAGAAGGAATTCTTCCTTCTCTCCAGGAGGACTGTCTTTGAGCTCTGACTTGAGAGATTGTTACAGAGTAAGTCGTTTTTTTCTTTGTTTCCCATTTTATTGGCTTCCTGACCAGTGTGCAAAGGATCATGTGCTGACTTGCTTTTCCTGTCACTAAGTTATACCTCATACATACTTTTTCTTCATTTTTTCCCCCCTAAATCTGTCCTCAGATCTTTCTTTATCCATATGTGCTGCAGTGTGATCGTCAGAATTGTCCTAGCATTTGACCTAGAGAAGCTCACGTCAAAAAGGTTGAAAGTTATATTTCACATTTATGTTGTCACAGTAATAGATTATTTTCCCCCAGATCCCTCTTTCCTTGTTTCTTTTTGGCAAGAGTGTCTCAGCCTGTGGCACTATAGCCTTCACGTATTTTTGTCAGTATTGCTGCTGGTTTGGGGGTTTTGTGTTGCTGCATCTGATTGTCTTCAACCTACCTACAATTGTCAGAGGTCCCTTCAGGCTGGGCACTGATTTTCTTCCCTGTTTCATTCAGAAAATATCACCTTAAGTACTGTGAGAAGTTGCACTGACAGCATGTCCTCCTCTGAAGGTACATTGCTTTATTCCTGACCAAACTGTTCATTCTTATTTATTCTTATTTATTCTCTTGTTATTATCTAAATGTCTCTGTACACCCACTAAGTGGGTTCCTTGGCAAATGTTTTCAGCACCTCTTCTGGTTTTGAAGGTCTCTACCAGGTGCATTGTGCTCCTTTCTGAGGGTGGGCAGTGACCCTCCTCAGTGTGACAGATCTCCATCAATTTCCAGAACTTAAAGTGTTAGTTGACAGTATCTCTCACTGCATTGTACATGGGGTAGTTTCAGTGATTTTTTGCTGTCTATAACCAAGACCTCTCATGAATTTCTTCACCTGCTGTTCCCTTTTTCCAAAGGGCATCTGCATCCGATCATCTGAGCTGTTAAAATTGTTTTCTTTTGGTATTTGTCACCATTTCTTTCTTCTGTCACACTTTTTACTTACAGATTTTTGAAGTACACACAGTGAGACTACCCAATTTTGGGTAGATTTTTTGTGTTGTTTTACTAACTTCTTGGCTTCTATGGCTTTTCTCTTTCAACAGTAGAATAAAGACTAATTTCAGATTAGATCCCAGGTCTCATCATCAGCTCTTCCTGGAAAGCCATTCTCTAACTGAAGAACACCTGAGGTCTTTTGGTCAGCTCCTGTCCCTGTCCTGCCAGCAGTGTGGGCTGGTGAGAGGACAGACTGTGACCCTGCAGCTGTCACACTGCCCATCACCAGAGTGGGGTAATTAACAGGGGATCAGTCTTTACTTAATCACTGTTATCCTGTAACCTCTTCTCTGTCTTTCAAGTCTCTTCTGTGGTGGTTTTGGGAGTTTGATGCAGGGATCATCTCGATGTGCTCCCTGCCTGTGGACTACTTGTGGTCCTTGATGTTTTGCTGTGGATTTGCCTCCATTCCCAGCTCATAGAAGAACTGTGTGACAGACAACCCTCAGGCTGGGACCTCCCCATGGGTCATGGCCAGGGCTGGCACAACACCCTCCAGCACCCATGCCTCTTTCCAGGCAGGAGAACAGGAATCAGCACTGATCACACTTGTTTTTCCCTCTGCTGTTGGCTGTGCCCTTCAGGGATTCCTGACAGCTCAAATGACACTCCTCTCTCTCTGCCCAGCTCCAGCCTCCTGGTCCAGTCCATCCCTTGCTGTTTGGCATCCCAGCCTTTTAGTGGAGGGATGTCTGGACAATGGCATGGTGGGATTCCCCTCCCTGGGAGCGAGCAGGGTGTGCCTGCCCAGGCCAGAGCTGCTCAGCAGCTCTGCGTCAGGCTGTTGTTATGCTGGTTGCCAGGCAGCACTTTAATATTTACCTCCACGCCTGACACACGTCTGAGTGTTGCTTCACCCTTTCTGCAGCCTGGCTATGGGGCTGCAGCAAACTGCAGAGAACAGGTGGGGCACAGCTGGCAGAATCCTCAGGGATGGGAGCACCAGGACAACCTGTGGTAAGAGGATGACCCCCAGAGCCAGTCTGGTGCTGACAAAGTGGCACAAGGGTGATCAGATGAAGGACTGGATCTCAGCAGCCTCTTGGCTGTCAGCCGGCGAGGCTCAGCTTGGCTGTACACCCCCCTCACTAAAGGGCTGGAAGAACGAGGACCCCCTTCTTCCTTGTGGTGGCTTTTCTGGGGGACAGAGTGGAAAATTGGAGGTCTTGAGTATTGTGGAATTCAGGCAGAAACTGAGACGAGACACTCTGTGATGGTGTGACGGAAGGTCATGGTGCTTTCTCCCTGTGTGCTCTTCCCCTCTCTGACTCCCCAGGACAAGGCTTTGTTTCCCTGGGTCAACCCCAAGTGCTCAGTGTTCTCCACAACCACTGATCAGCAGCTGTTCATTGAGCTGCTTTTCTGCTTTCAAACCATTTCTCTTCCTCCATGAGCATTTACACTCTTTGTTTCTCCGTGTCACTGCCCTCCAGCTGAACAGGGCAGAAGGAAGTAGCTGAGGTTTTAAGAGGTGTTTGCTAATCTCTGCAGGCTGCAGTGATGCTGATGTGCTGGGACTTGGGAAGGAATTTTTCAGTGCATTGTAAGACAGTGGCTTGGTAGGAGTTTTCTGAGGGGAGGAAGGGAGAAGGACTCAGATAAATGTTTTTATTAAATAGAGACTAGGATGACTAATACGAAGGTGTAGAGCAGATACCTACTTGTTAGTCATGTAGAAGGAATTCAGATTAATTTCTTGGAGAAGAAAGAAAAGGACAGGAAAAACTGTTAAGGAGCAAATGAAGAAAAATACTGTGTTGCCTACAGATTTACCTGATGGTATAGAAATATATTAAAGGATTATTGAAAACCTTTTGTTACTGTGAAGGAGATGGCAAATCATAGAATCATAGAATACACCTTTGAGCATCTACAAAATACAGCAAAACACAGCTTTGAGCAGAGGAATGTGAAACAGGAATAGAGCAGTAGTATTACATTTGTATAAAGTATTGATGAGACAACTGGAATATTCATCTCTAGGCTTTGAAGTCTGAGGCAGCCACAACAGAAGTACAAAAGGCTGTTCTTGAATTGACATCCCAGAAGTTAGGGAAGCAGACCATCATGTCCTTTGCAGAGTTCCAAAAGGATTACATGACATGTGGAAACGTGTGTGTGTGTGTGTGTGTGTGTGTGTGTGTGTGTGTGTTAGGTAAATATTAAGTATTCCTTTTTATGTCAACATACTTGAATTTGCTACTTTAGTATTAAATATTTTGTATGACAGACTAGTGAATCCAAAAGTACATTTTTTGCTAAAAAGGAAAGAAGTGTGGACAAATCCTGCACAGTAAGTGTGTGTGCCTCAGCGTGAGAGCAGGATTTGAGTCTGTCTTGATACTTGATGCAAAATTTGCTGTCATTACATGTGATAGGAAAAAAATAATGTTTCAAGTTCTGTCAGCAGCATCACACTGTCAAAATTCGACGTGTATGTATTGTGGAAATAACAGGCCAGGCAAAAGATCTAAAATGATAACTCTAATTTTTAGCTGGATAACTGGTGAATTCAGATTGTTTATGCTTGCTTAATGCAAATGCATAACAAAGGTAAAGTTCCTTAATTTTTTTTTTTTTTTCTCTCAAAAGCAGTCTCCTTCTGTGGATGCATCAAACCCACAAATAATGAAACCATCTGAAACCAGGGTAAGAATTCCTGAAAAAATTCTGCTTGCAGTTAAACACAAATGTATGAAGCCATGGAATTTCTTTTTTAGCACTTGGATACTGAGTGACTTTACTTTCTGTATTTCTTATCTGCAGCTTAGTTCCTTCTGCAAAAGGTATCGAAAAAATACTATTTGGAGCATTCAGAGGTTTTTATGAAAGCAGTAAAAAACAAAATGTTAATGAAAGTGTTTAATTTTAGCTCTGTCACACTTTGTGACATGTATATAGCTCCCCCCAGTGTAGTTGCAGGGTTATTTACCTGGTTATAGTTGTTCACATATTCAACAAATTCAGGACAAGCTTCAGCTTTTTCTGTACATACAATCTCACCTCCTCATTAATTTCCCGTCTTTCTCTGTCTGACAGCTCTCTTGTCTTTGTCCTTTATGCCTGTTTTGTCTTGTTTTATGACTAGAATTTCCTTGGTCAGAGCTGTGTCATCAGTCATGTACTTTACTAGTTGAAAGACAGTCATAATCCTCCCTTATGCCTCCGTTGCCTAACAGAAGTTACTTGTGTTGTTTAAACAAATGATTAATGACTCTCCCCCTCTTTCATTTTCCACACTTCTACCAGTGAGACCAGCAGAAACACTGAATACCAAAGCAGGCCAGCAGGAACTTGCATGGCAGTAAAGGTTAGGGCTGCCTGCACTTTATGTGAGGGCCAGTGAAGGGTTGCCCTGAGTGTTAGGGTGGAAGAGGCCCCTGGAGGTCCTGTTGACAAGGCAGAGCCAACTTTGTGGGTAAATGGCACTGCCAGACACCTTTTGAACACCTACAATGTGTTACACAGGGTACCTGGGCAGCCAGATTATGGCATCAGTATTTTTTTCCATTTATCAAATGGAAAATCCCTTTGCTGTAACTTTTGTCTCTGGTCATTCTGACATGTCTCTTCATCTAGGTGGAGCACCTGTCTCCACCTTCTCTGCATTTGAGCTTACCTGTTACATTTCCGTCAGCCTTTTAAAACTCTTTTCCTCTGTGCACACATCTAAGACTGATAACAGCGAGCTGGATGACAATTAAGCCTTTTCCAGTCGTGCATGATCATCATTACTCATAAATGAAGGTATCTGCAAGTCTCTGGTTTCATCCTCCTGTTATGTTTGTGGGCAAACTCCTTTGTATCATGTTCATTACTGCTGCAGTTCTTCATATGGTTTAGCCCAGACAGTGATAGTCTTTCCCTACTTGAAATTTAAAATAACTCTCAGAAGAACGTGGTAAATGAGCCAAAAATAGAGGAGCAGAGGCATTCTTCAGCACTGTAAGTCTGGTAAACACAAATCCCTTTGAAACAGTGTCCTGCATTTGCATGTGTTAAGATAATTAGTGTTTTCTTTTAATGTCTGTTGCATTATTGATGTTTTTCCTCTGCTGGATTAAGAAAGTCACTTGCATTTTTGACAGTAGACTTCTTTGAAAAGAAATAAGGTTGCTGAGTCACTTTGTTGTCTAGTCCTAAATTTCTTACAAATTGATAACTCTTTCCCAACTGCCTGCTGTAACCACGCAGTCTCATTTGCCTTTCCTAGAGTCTTTCTAGTGTGCCATTACTCTTAAACGTGCCCTGGGCCCTTCTTTAGCTTTCATTTCTGTGTGTGTGTATCCTTTGTCTCTGACAAACCCACAGTATTATGTCTCTCTGAGAAAGCCGTGAGCTGCTGCGGCAGAGGAAGGAATGTGGAACTTCTTGTTCTGTAGGCAAAGCCTGGGTTTAGGTGGAGAGTTTGGAGGACCAGACACCCTGTGAATTTTGCAGGCGGATTAGAGGAAGCAGGTGCTGCCGCTGCCAAAACTGCATCCTGTTCAGCTCTCTTTCTTTTGCATGTGTAAAGTAGGGAACTAGGTAAAAAATACTATTTTCTTTTCCAGGCTATCTTTCACTTTTCCCGAGTCAGCTTAAAATGCCTTCTCTCAGTTCCTGACACAGGGCTGGTGGGAGCAGGCAGTTGAAGGGGAGGTCAAACACCTTCTTCCCAAAGGAATTCAGTGCACGCTGTCAACTGATGCCATGGCTTCAGGCTGTGGCTCAGCTGTGACTCTGCTTAAAGGATGACTGAACAGTTCCCTCTGAATGTATAGGCTCCTACTAGAATTGTTTTACTTGCCTGCTGATTTTAATTGGATTTGAACTTTGTCATTGCTAAAAGTATTTTTAAATAGATGTGTCTGTGTATATGAGCATTTGTGTGTTTGTGATCATGGATTTGAATGTGGCCTTAGCATACCCATGTGTGTTAAGTCCTGAAACAAAGCATATGGACCCCCACATGGGTCCATATTTTCAGCATTGTCATAGATAAATTTATAGTACAAGCAATTCGGCACATTTTAAAAGACAGCAGAAGAATAACAAGAAATGTATACAACATGCAAGAGATGCATTAAGTATTTAGTTAAAAAATATTTACAGTATTTAAAAAAAACAACACTTGCATTTGCTTATAACTGGTTTGGTAGGTTGAAAATTTGTATTTAATGTTCTGTGAAGGTTTTGTCAGGTGTTGTGTCAGAAATGCAAGTGCATATATTTTATTGTCCTGCAAAAAAAGATGTGTTTGGTCTTCTTCTGAAAAGCACATAAGGAAAACCTGAATTTTTGCTCTGACAGCAGGGTACTTTAAGTCCTGAGCAGGCAGCAGTCCCACAGGAGAAAAAGTCGAACTCTGTTTCTTGAACCTCAACCTTGCATTCCTGTCCCATTTTTGCAGTCTTACTGCTGAAGAACATCTCATGTCTTGTCTTTGCTAGAGATGTTACAGAAGTACATCCAACCTTATTTAGCTTAAAAACTGTGAAAATTTAGGATTACCCTTTCAGTATAGGATTGTTTAATGCACAGGTACAAAAATGGATGAGTGTGTCTTTTGAGTTAGAGGATGGACAAGTGGGAGAATATAGAGCATGACTGAATCTGAGAAGTGCTGTGTTTTAATCATGTTAGGCATCAAGAGAAAATACAAAACAGGCAATCTGGGAGAACAGGGTGGGGGAGTCTGAGAGCTTAAGTGATTATTTTGGGGTTTTTAAAACTTATTTTTAACTTTTTTCCTCACTTTATGAGTTTTTTGTTCTTCCTCTCCATCAGTGTTCTTCCTGTGGTGACTGACTTGTGTGTGGATGTGTGTTCCTTACTGTGGTCTACAGCATCTAAGTTTTAATGCATGTTCAGGATTTCCCAACCAAGTTATCTGTAGTTCAGTGTGTGGGTGTGAACATTTGCCCAGCAAGTGGTAAACAAATTTAGCAAATTTCTCTGTGTGGTCAGCTATAAAAACCATAAGCTGGGTATGTCTGAACGGTAATAAAAATTTGGCAGAAAAATGTTCTAGGCCATCTTGCTTAGATTATGTTTTTGCTGTGAAAGGTTGGACTGGATGGTCTCTTCTGGAGACCTCTGATTACCCCAGAATTAAAGCAGTGAAAGAATTTAAATTACCACCTAATAGTATTTTTGTTTTCCTGTCTTATCAGATATAACCATTCTTTAAGTTTTTCAGTGTTAGTTCTTACACGTTTCTGGTAGTAGTAATTTATTTCTCACTGTACTTTGAGTTGAGGTGAATCATAGGAATCAGTTTTATGGCATGGCTGCAGAAAATTTTCAGGTGTAAGTCCTGGAAGTGCAATCATGTCATAACTATCCAAGCCAGATTGTTCAGCTCTGTTGTAAAGTATGAGCATTAGGAAGTTACAGAGGAGAGGATTAATACAAAATTTCTGTTGTGTGTAGTATAAGGATACTAATTGCATATATCTATCCCACCCTGTGTATATCGTAATGAATATAAGTATTAATGTCTATTCCATAATGAGTGTGTGTATTTTTATAATTAATTTATTGAAAAATGACAAATTATAATTTATTAAATAATATTTGACGTTATTTCAAAATTTTGTAATGGTACTTCGGGAGTTTTTTGGTCAGTAAATCAAACTACTCATTCATTATATTTAGTTTCTTCTTTCCCTTTCCTTTCAATCCCCACTATGAGGAGTGTGCGTGGGTGTGTGTTTTTACACAATTGAGTGCTCTTAGATCCTTGGCCTGGCTGCTTCTGCCAGCAAGTTGTAAACTGCAAGATCAAAGCCCTGTGTATTGGTTACACAGCATGTGTGCTCACAAGTGTGAACCTGTCTGATATTCTGCGTTATATAAGCCAACCCTTCAGAAATAATCAAGCAAATTAATTTCTGCCTGTTGTTTATATTTCAGTCAGCACCAACAACCAAAGCAGGATCTGAAAAAAACACCCAGTCAGCCAAGGTAAATACTTAACTTTCACCTTTGCAGAGTTGTCATACTTTGGTCTTTTACTAACTTAGAGGCAAAACTCTTTGCTGTTACTGTGTCACAGCAAATGAAACTGTTGTGTGATCAGGAACATACCTGTGCACAAATGAGCTGGGAGCTGCTGGGTGGAAATGTGGTGTTTGGGGGGAAACAATCAGGATGCTTTATTAATTCAGGACAGCCAAAGAAATGTTTTCTTAACCAGCTTTAAATCTGTTTTGTGCTTATTTGAACTAGTGTAGGTCACGTTCCATAGCACTGAATGGCAGAGAGGGTAAATAATCTCAGTATTTTATTTCATGACAGCCAGCAGACTCTCAAAATAAACAGCTGTCTGAAGAGAAGCAAAAGGAACCCAGTGATGTAAGTTGTATAATTTTTTTCTCTCTCCCTTAATTTTATTTTTTTAGTAAGGGCTGCATTGGTGTTTTTCTTCTCTTTCTTTTTTAAAAAATAATTAAAAAGAAATGCAAAGCCAGCCCTCCATATCTAATAATAGTTTATCTTTACACAGGCAAAAAACCAAACTTCACCTTCTGTGACAACAGGTTCTAAACTAAATAATGCTGAAAAAGTAACTACAACTCAGGCTGACCAGCCTCCACAAGCAACCCCCCCAGAGACACCAAAGGTACCAGTATAAGCAACAACCAATTTTTATTATTTATGATGAAATCCACGTCAAAGTGGATTCTTAAGCTGAATATTGTCAGGTGAGACTGGGCCCCCAAAAACCACAGTGTTGAAAAGCTCAAAGGCTGCCTTGTGTTTAAACGTGTGTATGACAAACATCCTTTCCTGCTCTAAAACCTGGGACCTAGAAATGTCACACTTTTTGTCACAAGAGTAATTTCAAAGGGGGACTCGTGGAGAAAAAACACAAAGCAAAAGCATGTGGTAGAGTCAGGGTCTGGATCTTTTGGTCTGCTCATGTCCGGGTAGCATGAAGGGCTCCTGTAGCTCTACTACATCCCCCTTATTTTTCTGCAGTAAATGAGCGTGTCAGTAATGCAGAAGTTCGGCATTTTGTGTGGTGTTGCTCCTGCACCTGACTCCCTGCAGTATTTTTCACCCCACCTGCTTGAGCACCATTTCCTCTGGCTTTAATAGTGTATTGAGAGCTGCCAGGAATAAATGAAGGCTTTCAAGAGAGATTTGGAAGGGGCCTTGTGGCCCTTCTGCACTGCAGATTTCTTTTACTGGCAAAGTAAAAGAAAGAGGTAGAGTACTTAAAATAGCATCCTTTCTTTCCCACAGCAGAATCACTGTTATTCCAAGTGTAGATAAGAAGGACAGTAGATGTGGATGCCTGAGTAGAGCACCTCTGTTTTATTTTGTTTTGTCTCTAGCATTTTTAACATAGGACCATGAAATAAGCCATGTCTTCATTTTACTCTTATTTCTCCAGCCTAAATCTGAGATGTCCACAGTGGCTGATGCAGCTTCTGCTGGCACAGCTGGTGCAAGTGTGGTTGCTGCAGCTGATAAATCAAGTGCTGAGGTTGGTAAACACAGTCCCAGGCAAATGGCTTCCCTTGTAAAAATGTCTCAGAGGGTGCTTCTCTCTCTGAAACACTTTCAGAAAAAAAAAAAAAGTGTAACTGCTTAAATTTTTATACATAGTAGTTAAATATGATGGTGAAGGGCCATCTGAAAGAATAGGTAAAAAACTACTGAGGTGTCATCTGAGTTTTGTCAAATAGGACTTATTTAGAATCACTTTTACCACAACTTTAAATTAATTACTCAGTTATGTTTGCGTATATGTGCATCTATGTCAGGTGAGATATAAATACAGATTATCTTGTTACTGACACTGGAGAACAAGTTTAAGAACAGTTCTCACTGAAAAATGTATAAATTTATAAATGCACACGTAGTGCATGTCCTACTGAAAGCAGGGTTTTGATTTGGTTTCCAGGGGTCTTCTAAAGATTCACCAGATTTTTTTTTTTTCCACTGTACACAACATGGTAACTTCTATGATGGTTTGCTTATTTTGTAGCCTGGTATGGATGAGTCAGCGCTGGACAGCCTAATAGATACCCTGGGTGGACCTGAAGAAGATGTGCCCACTACTCCTGTTTACACTGGTCCAGAAGTTACGGTATTCTACACTTTGCATTTTCACTTCTTAGAAGATCCATCCCCAAATTATGTCTGTTGTTGCTCAGTACTACATTGATCCAGTATTTGTCACTGTGATCAAAATAGAGTGTGCACAGTTACATTTTAATGTTGTTTTCAGTATATACAGAAATTACACAGTTTTGGATCTGTTGCAATAGAAAACACTTGAAGTGTCTGTGAAGTAAGTTTGTTGCTTTTTGAGCTGACTCCCAAGCATGGTCTGCAATGGATTTACAAAAGGAGGTGATAGAGGGAGGTATAAGAGTTTAAACAACCGAGGAGGTTTCATTTCTGCTTGAGAAAGAGTAAAACACTGGGAATTTGGTGAAGAATGCACGTCTTTCTGAGTGTGAATTGGAGAGTCACATGAGAAGCATTATGTTTACAAGCTCAGTGGTTCAGTACAGTACTCAGCCATGATAAAAACCTTGGAATTTATAAATATATATAAAATATATATAAAAGTTAGTACATCAATCCATCCTCTGGTCTGAGACACTGAAATTGCTTAAATTAATGCAGAATAATTTGGGAATGGACATGCAGAATTCTGGTTGATGTTGAGCACTGCTGAAGCTGGTCAAGAGGCATGTGCATGATACTAGATACTGAAAGACATTATGTAGTCACAGCCCAAGTTGGCCCTCTGACAAAGCCAGAAGTATCTTTCTTTCCAGAAGTATCACTGTAGGTAGCTCTACATCAGAACTTTATTTCAGTAAAGAGCAGTGCACAAACATTAATTTGTGCATTCTTTTCACAGGAAGATGATATATATTCAAGATACTTGGAAGAACTGGGTAAACGGGAGGGTAGTCTCCCTCCAGAGTACGTTAAATTGTTGAAGGTCAGTGAGATACAAAACACATTTTTCATGCGTGTTTTCTTTCATGTTTGTATATTTTTGCTTCCCATTTACTACAAAATTAATTCTCATTTCAGAGCAAAGCCAAAGACGCAGTCCTACCAAAAGCAAATGAACCAAATGAAGTAAGACTTATTTTTTTACACTGGAAGGTGAAAGTAACCACTGGATTCCTAGGAAAATGTAAATGTTGAAATTTTTTCCAAAAATCCCAGGAAGTGGGAGTGCCAGATATCATAGCTACTGATAAAACTAAATAGAACTTGGGACAGATGTTTTTAATTAAGGTGTAGAAATTTTCAGAGCACTGAAGCTGAAACAAATAAATGCTTACAGAGATATTGGGCATACTAAGATCAGAGGGGAAAAATAGTAAACTGTGCATGGAAGAGTCTCTCTGTAACGTCTTTAGCAAAGACTACTTGGATTTCTGCAGTTAAATTAAAAGCCAGCCAGCTTAATTTTGCCGTCTCTAATTTCAACATACTAAAATAAAAACTTATCTGAAAAATTAATCAACCAGTGAGGGAAAATACCTTTATTTTTTTCTTGTGTCAGGGACATGTGCCAGTGAGGTCACTGTGTGAGTAAGCATGGGACACACTCAGACTGTAAACTGAGCTTGACCTGGTTGGATATTTGAACTTTAATAGTCATAACTTGGTTTGCAATTTCTTGCTCAGAAACCAATGACAGATGATGAGCTTGCCGAGGCCCTGTCATCTGACTTTACCTGCAGTACTACTTCTGCTCAAAAAGAGAAGACAAGTCTGACAGAGGTATTGATACTTTTTCTGCCATTGCAGGCCTTTATTGCTGAAACATTGCCATTATTGTCTTTAGTATTTCATTTTACAGTGATATTGACAATTTTCCACTTCTTTTTACTTTTGCAAATTTGCCTGTAATTTCATCTCTCTCACAGAAACAAAGTAAGGAAGGAGAAATCGTGCAAGCACAAGCAGCAAGTTCAGTCAAGACCTCAGTTCCTCCTAAGGAGAAGAAAACAAGATCAAATGAGGTACACATAGCCATTCTTCCACTAGTTAACTTGTAATTAAAATTTACAGGCACATGCCATATTATGTGTGTCTGATCCCTTAAAGATTGTCATCATTCTGATTTTTCAGTTGTAAATCCTCTTTATCGTAGAAACAATAGGAATAACAGGAATTATCAGTGCTCAGATATCCCCTGTCTTAAAGATTTGGCCTTAGTGAGTCAGATGATTTTCCTTCTGGATTCTTCAGAATGACTGTGGCTCTTGTGACTAGAAGCAGTAAAGTAGAAAAATTAATAGAAAGACTGTCTTAGTTGTGTGATCATGTGTATAAAACTTGGGTATGATGTAATTTCCCCATATTTTACAAACCTTTCTTTTTTTCTCTGTATAGAGCAAGTGTGACCTTACACTTCCTTGGTTTGCCATGTCAAACCACATGACAGTTGTGTTACATGAAACTGTGATGCTGTGGGGTTTTTTACTTCCCCCCTTTTTTTTTCTTCTCAAGAGAAGCCGTGACCTTATTAGACTGTGCTAATTGTGTCGCATAATTTGATGTTAAGGAAACTGGATAAAACCAAACCAAAATGATGAATCTGATGCTGGCTGTTTGCTTCACATAAAGCAAAAAAATACATAAGGTAAAATCTGTGTAAATTTAAAGAGATAATAAAATTATTTGCATATTTTCTTAAATACAGGAAAGCAAAGAAGATGCAGTGGAAGCTCTCCTGGATACTCTTGGAGGACCTGAACCTGAACCTGAACCTGAAGAAAATCCTATCCCTGTTGTAGAGGTGTCAGAGGTAACATCTTACTCCTTTTTTACCCTGGTTTGAGATTCTCCTGTGGAATTCTGAGTCCTCTTTGTTAGATCCTGTACAAATGTGTAAAATAACAAGAACGATCTATACCAAAGGCCTAAGGAATGTGTGAGTCTTCAGGGATTAAGAAAATTTAAAAAAATAAGAAATACCAAGTGGATACAAGTAGGGTAGAACATAATAAGGTGGCCTGGGAAATTATAAGCATATCATTTGGCTTACATACTTGCACCTTCCCCTGTGGTAAATAGAGTTGCTCATTGTTTTTTTTTTCCCCCCAGCACTGGGTACAATTTATAACCAACTTTCATTTTGCACATACTTGCTGTTTGATTTTTAATTGACTTTCAGTGCACGTACTCCTTTCTTCCATAAAACCACATTTTCCTTCTAATCTGAGTCTTGCTTTTTACTATCTTTTAAGAGTTTTGCTTTTCTTCAGAAGACTTTTGACAGTATCCCTGTGTTTGCATGTTAAACTGTCACTTTTTAGTTTAGTTTTGCAGACTGCCTATAACCATACTAATAGCAGGTTTTTTTCCTGTCTTCACCAGCAGCTCAGAGAAAAAAAATTACAGGGAAATAGTAAAAAAAATCTCCTGTTGCTGGGCTCAATTTTGACAAAAGAAGAGCTGCTTGCATTGCAGATTCAGTCAGTCTAGGCCTTCAGGTAACTCAACATTGCTTCACAAAGGAGGTCCAGAGAATTAAAAGCTGAATTTCAGTGCCAGTGATGGAAAAAGATACAGAATTCTGCCTTGTGTAATCAGAGTGATGAAATACAAGAAAATCCGAGAGTTTTATACACGTAAAAATACTAAAAATACTTTCCACAAAGTAAGAGCTCTGAATAGTGTCCAAAGTTTTTTTTAGGATTTAAAATAATGCAACTATATTTACAGATAATGTTGAATCTTAAACCATAATGATTTTACCACAGACATTTGGTAGGAATAAATTGAGGAATTTCAGTATTTTGGTATATGGAATAATTTCGTCTGATGCTACTTCTTTACACATAGTTAGCTGAAGAATCTTGATAGTGAAGTTGAGTATACCTCAAGTTTTTATTTTAATTTCTTTATGTGTTTTTTTATGTTCCTTCTTTTGAAGGCAAAAGCTAAGGAGAAAAAAGAAGAAAAGGTTGGAGAACGTGATGATACGATACCTCCAGAATACAGGTTAACTCCAGAGTTGGTAAGTTTTCTGTACCTCTAATTTCCTCCCTTTCCTGTGTGGGCATGAATGGGTTTTTCAGGCATTCTGAGCAAAGATCTGTTCTTCCCAGGTCACACCTTCCTTCTCCAAGAGTCGTGTTTCTTGTTTCTTACACTAAATTTCAGTAAATCACTTTACAGCAGTCCTCTTTGGTATCATTCTGTGATGTAACCTTGAAACACTAAAGTGAAATGATAGGAAAAGTACACTCTTTTTTCTGGATTGTTGCTTCAAGGGATTGGTATTTGTTCAAGGTTAAGCAAAACAACAATGGAACTGAGATGTGTTCTCGATAAAGTTCAGAGTTGGAAGTTTCTGTGATGCTGCATAAACTGGCCTTGCTGGAGCTAGATGTTAATACTGAGTGTTGAAAGGTGCAACTTTACACCTTTAGAGATTTCAAGACTGCCCAACTGCAGACCTGGGATTTCACCACATCTTTGTTCAAGTGCAAAGGTTTAGTCAAAGCTTCTTTTAGTACTGGATGAATTCCTGCTGGTTTACTATGGAATTAATTCTTGCTACATGCTGACACCAATGTGAATGAACACTGGTCTTTTGTATGGTGCTGACATCGTATTTGCTTCTTTTATCCACTTACCTGGCAATGTAAAGATTCCCCATTTAGGAGAATTCCTGTTACTGTGTCACCAATTTAATCTTGCGTGTGGACTTTATTTTGCATTATTTTTGCTGGTGTTTACTGAGTATAGCACTTAAAGCAAAAATGTCAGTAATGCTTAATTCACTTTTAGGATAAGGATGGAAAGCCAACATTGCCGAAGCCTGAAGAAAAACCAAAGGTTAGAAAACTGACAACATTGTAGGAGTGTGACTAGATATTCCTGTTTTCTCCCTCTCTCTCACCTCATCTCTCTCTGTGCCATTATGTAAGTCTTTTGTGTTTGCTTCCTTCCACAAAACCTGCTAATCTGATGTGTCAAGTGAAAGTGTTTTTTACTGAAATGCACTGACTGTGAACAAAGAGCTCATAGTATGGAAAAGGTTTAGACACTACTATGACACAAGAGAGTTACTGAAATTACTGCTGACACAAAGAAAGGCTGTATGGCGAGTTAGTGAAAGGTATTCTGTAAAGGTCTGTTGGAGCTGTTGAAGGACAGAGAGAGGTGAAGCAGGAAAATCTTGTGTTTTCTTGACAGTTTCCTCTCATTAGTGATCAAATATAAAAGAACATGACTGGAAAGAAGGAAAAAAAAGCTGCTGTGGACATTTTCCTAATCACAAAGACCAACTTGGACTTTGCAAAGAGCATCCATCATGGCCTAGAAAAGTGCAAGAGAGAATTAAAATATTGACTGCGAAAGTTGCAAAGATTAATTTAAAAAGCACAGGAAGAAAGCAAAGGAACTGTGCACTGAAGAAACTGAGGGCTTCATTTTGGAAATACTGTGAGTTGAGGAGTGCTGCCAAAAATTGGACAAGTACAGGAAACCTCCATTCTTCTGGAATGAGCGTGAAGGTCAGGACCAATCTGAGTGAGAATGACCCTGTGCCCTCTTAGCAGAAATGTGAAGTAATTTATGTTATTCAAGGTTAAGGTGTGTAGGAATGCAAAGGCAGTGATGAAAAGACTTTTGGTGTCTAAAAATTTGCGTGTCAGGTCTTAGACAAGTCCTGACCTGTCAAGCATGTCATCATATAAAAAGTGAGCAGCTGTGGCCCCACTGTCAGAAGACAAGCCCTCCTGTTCCACAGAGAGCACAAAGGAGATGGCAAACACAAAAAAGAAAGGTTTCAGAAGAGAATGTGGCATGAGTGAAGGGAGGTCAGTTCACAGTTTGACCCAAGTCCTACATAAAACCATGGCAGAAGGGAAGCTCAGAACCATGAGGTCTTATGCCAAAAGAATTTAAAAGGTTACTAGAAAAATAAGTATTCCCATGCTCTTCTGCCTCTCTCAATGTGAGACACAAATACAGTTGAATATTTGTTCTGTAAGTGAATCACAGTAGTACTGCAGTATTTTCCTGAGCACCTCTTCACTGCTTGCAATTTAAATGAGGGGGCTTTGAGCAAGATGTGTTCACCAGTATTCCTTTGGTATCACCACTGATTTACATCTGTGAAGCCAAAATCAGCAAAACAAAAAAAGAGCTATGCTAATAGCTGGAAACTTTCATTCACATACAATTGTTCCATGATTTCTGGTGAATGCAAAGTTCTTCCATCAGGATTTCAGCTCGGGCTTGTCTTGCTTTGGTGCTATACCCTTAAGCAAATGCAGTGGCATAACTTTTGTGGAAAAAAAAATTGGTTTTACCTAAATGCCTTTTTTCTAGTGTCTGAAAGAAGATTTCAGACATCATGAAAAGTGGGGCCTTATGTGTTGAGACATTTTGTAAAGGCTTTTGGGGAGGGAATGAGGGAGGGAAAATAGGAGACTCTTTTTCACAAATGTCTTTTTTTTCATTATGAATCTGTCCCTAACCATTTAAGTTGCACATAGGAAGTAAATGGCCACCACTGCTAGCAAAGATTTAAACATTCAGCTGTAAACAGTAGTTTGGAGGATACCATCAGGTATATGTACAGTGCATAGTACTAGATCACGTAGTATCAATAGATACAGTAGTAGACACACTGTAGGAAACTAAAACTCCATTTTTTATTCACTAAAACATGCACAATGAAAGCCACTGAGTGTCAGCAGTCAGTGGACAGGCTGAGGGATCTGTGAGGGGACACTGCTCCTGAAGGAACTCTTCTTCTGCTGGGAAAAAAAATTAAAATGGGCTGATGGTGCTGCTTTCCACTACCTGTATATAGTTTACACTTAAAGTACTGTAACAGCATGATACTGTTGTAGTAAATACTAGCTAAATATTAGCATTTTTTTCCTAATTAAGTGGTTGTATTTAGAGGCTGTATTTATTGTAAGAGGTCATACTTGTAAGTAGCCCTGTAGACAGTGTTGAACATTGTGTATCTGGGTCTCTAAATTATATTTTATGTTATCTCTATAATTCTCTACCTTATATTGACTTTTGATGACAAAGCAGCTGACTTATTCTGAAATGTAGTTTTCTTCATTTTATACAGTAGGAAGTTCATGCTGTTTTGTTGCATATAAGTGTGAAAGGTTACGTCAGTGTAGGCTACAAATGTTTTCCTTCTTTCTGAGTAGCTGAAATACAATTCTTGAAAAAAAAAAAAAAGAAAAAAAAGGCAGTGAGTCACCTGTATCCTCCTTTTTTTGCAGCCTCTGAGTGAATCTGATCTTGTTGATGAATTTTCAAATGACTTTGCCTGCCCTGCACAGCCTGCAGCGCAATTCAAACCTTCAAAGCCCAGCAGCATCTCCAAAGTATGTTTTTCTAGTTCACTGAAGTTGCTGACAATGATAGTTTTATTAAGACTGGACAGTCCTACTGTTCTTTCCAGAAATAAATTTTCTTCTCTTTATATTTTTCCTTCCCTATTGCCTTTGTTGGAACATGCAGTATTGGCACTCAGCTCTTAATTGAGCAGCTTCTGCCTTTAAATTTAGACTTTTCTGCCTTGTTTAATACTCCGTTTAGGAAGAAAAAAAACACATACATTGTGTCTTTCTAAGCATATTCAATAAAATACAGTGTAATTTTTCTGTTTCAGAAGCCTTCAGATTCTGTGTCTGCAAAAACCACTGAGAATAAAGTAGTCCCTCGTGCCACAGCTTGCACTGTGCAGTCTTCAGCTCCACCAGCCCTGTCTTCAGTAAGTAGAGCTAAAAGCAAAACTTAGTGCTTCCTTTATGGAATGGCAGAGCATATTGTCAAGATGCTCATTTCAGCATTGTGTGTTCTTCCTCCACAAAGATTGGGTGGTTTCCAGAAAAAATTAATCGAATGGGGAAGGTCAGTAACCTTCTTCATAGCCTGATCCAGATGAAAAAAATCCAGCTATGGACAAAGTTGAGGTAGAGAAAAAAAAATCAGACCTCAAAAAATAGACTGTGTATGTAATTGCCTTCAATTATTGTATTTCCTCAGGCTAGAAAATATATAGATATAATATTTTCACTTAAAAAAAAAAAAGAATTGCTGTTGAAACCAGTTTAATTCTGCTTACGAAGTATTGGTAGTATTTCAATACAGTGACTGCACTTTTTTAATAATTATGACTGTGGCAGTAAAGTAGTTCCCTCAGTTTCTGAAAACTGCATCTTCTATATGTCTTACTGCTACACCAAAGCAGAGTTAAGATGCACACAGAGGTTGCACACAGTATGGTCTTTGTCCTAAAGGAAGCAAATTTATGATGAGTAGTTTAAATTAGGGATGGATGATGCTTAAAACTTTGGGCTTTGCCCCAATCTTGTTATTTAAATTGGAAGTCATAGAAAAGTCACTGAAATACATGTATTCTGTCTGTGAATGCTGTTCAAAGTTACAGTCTGAATGCCCCCAGTGCCATGCTAAACCATGGGCCAGATGGAATTGAGTGGTGTCAAAAAAAGGAAAAAAACAGCCCTTATGGAATTCTGTCAAGTGAAAGTTCCCAAGAGAAAGTTCTCAGGAGAAAATGCTTTCTTTTAATTTTCATAAGATTTGTAGTTGGATTGAATGAAAAAGATGTCATTTGAATCAGCAGACTGAAGGCTAAAAGCTTGCTCATTGTGCATTTCTGTTGGGATGCAATTAGTTGGTTTTCTTGCTATGATTTCTATTTTGCCTTCATAGGAGAAAACCAAAACAGAACAACACAAAAACCTGGGTGAAGATGAAGAAACAGTTCCTCCAACATACAGATTAACAGGAGCTAAAGTATTTATTTAGTGTTGTCTTAGTCTTACCTTCCCTTCATTCCTCAGAATAGGTGGATGAAATGAGACTCCATTTTATTTTGAAATGTTGATGTCCATTTCAGCCAGTTTTATAGTATCTAGAAATTCCAGTTCATAGTTCCCAAATACCTGACATCTGTCATTAGTTGCCTGCATGGGCATACAGGTGGTTTAGATGCAGATGAATAATAGATTACTCTGATGCAGAGTAACTTTTGGTATTTTAAAACTTAATAAATTGTGATTGGTTAAAGCTGTTTAAAAAACCCCAAGCAATTCTTCAAGGTGGTATTTTTGCAAACATTACCACACACATTTGACATAAATGGGTTGCTTAGGTCTAGCCAAGACTTTCACATCGTATGCCACAGCTGAGATTTTACTTAACAATTGTTTTATTTCTGTGGAAATGGAAACACAAAATAGGGAAGCTCAGAGTACCTCACACTGAATCACTTCTCAGCACTCAGGTGTGCTTAAGCTAGAGGACCTGGATTTTTTTAAGTGGCACCTTGGGTAACAGCAGTAGGTACCAGAGGTGACTAGTTACGTCACTTTCTTGTGTAATACTGTCTGTGTTGCTCAGGGAATGCTCCCAGAGTACCTGTATTGCACAGTTATTTATGCACTGCTTGGTTTAATAAAAAGGATCTCTCTTTGTAGGATAAAGATGGAAAACCACTCTTAACAAAACCAGAAGAAAGACCACAGGTAAAAAAAGTGAATATTCAGATAACTGTTTCATTCATGAATTACTGGCAAATGTCACTAAGGGTACCCAGTATTCAGTTTAAAAATGGACTGTGCTACCTGCTCACTTTTTAAGAGATAAAGAGACTTAAAAGCCTCTTTTGTTTTTTCTTTTCAATAATAGCTGATGAGTGAAAATGATCTGTTAGAGGGTTTGACAGAAGGATTTTCCTGTTCTCCATCACCACCTGCACCATTACCTAAGTCAGCTGTACAAAAGGTGAGTACATTTGATTTTTGACATTTGTTTTTATTTTCAAGTTTTTTGAATAATCTTGACATTTTACATATTTCCTTCAAAGTGTACGTAAAGTTTCATATATAAAATCCAGTAACTAAAAATTTAAAGTACTTTTTGCAGCAAACTAATAGAAGAGCAGGGAAAAAAATAGTTGTCTTACCTTTCTATCATAAGTAATACTTTGCAACTGAGAATTTTAGAAGTGTTACATGGGAATATGGATAGCCTTGGTGAATTCTTAGCTCTTCTGGAGTCAAGTTACACCTCTGACGAGGTTTAACCCAAGTAGTTGAGATGGAGGATAGACCGTGAACAAAGTGAGATGCAGAAAAGTTCAATCTCAGTGGAGGGGATTTCAATCTGAAATAACTAAAACTGCTGAGAAAAATAAACTCCTAGAAATAAACTGCATGGGCACTGTGTTTTAGATGTGTGGAGTTTGATGCATGTTTTCCTCCTGTGTTTGTCATGATGCTGTGTCTTGTTCCAGAAAACCAAAGAGGGTAGGAAGCCCACGGGTTCCTCGGATGTTATCTCTGCTGCTACAGTTTCATCAGTGCACTCAGCAGCTCCTCTGTCTTCTACCTCAGTAAGCAACCTCTTCTATAGGTCTTATCCCAAAAGAAGTGAGGACAGACAGTAGCGTGGCCTGGCCAGTTCCACCAGTGTGGGCTGTTGCAAAGTTCAGTCATTTATTGCTGATAACTGGCTGCTGCAGGGGGGGAGAATGTTCCCCTGAGGAAAGAAAAAAAAAAAAAAAAGTGATTTTTCTGGACACCCCATGTTGAACAGACTGTGGACTGGCCTGCCCAGTCTCCCCAAGTTCCAGTCAGTGCTCCATTTCAGACTCCTTTGGAACTTCCTAACCCATGCCGAGTCCTCCAGGGTCACTGAGGATATTGGAGGATGTGTCTGTTCCCTTTCTGCAGGGCCATGCAGGCAGTCACCTCTTTTCAAGTGGTTTCAATTTTAGGCTTGAGCTTTTAGCTGAACTCTTCCTCTTTTTCCTTTTCCTTTTTGCCTTTTCCCTTTCTTCTTCCCCCTCTCTTCTTTCTCCTTTCTCCTTCCCTTTTTTTCCCCTTTCCCACTTAGGTAATGAGAACATTTAAAATAATCCCAGCATAGTCTTTACCACAGTGGCCAAGTCAAGCCTATAAAGGGAGAAGTCCAAGGTTAGTGGAGGAACAGGCAGTGCCATGACCCCCTTTGAACACCAGGGGAACTTCCCTTCCAGCCATTTATTGTAATGTTGCTTATTCCTTCTCCATTTTGATCTGTGCAGAGGGATCTTCCACTAATGTTTCCAGCCTAATTTAGAGGGGGAATATAAAGCTTCACCTAACTGTGTTTTAGTTGGTTTTATGGTCTTTTTTTCTTAACCAGGTTTTGAATAAAAACTGATGTTTGCAAAACGAATGGCAATTGCCAAACAGCATCGTTTTATAGATCTGGTCTCATTACAAAGGTTAGGCTTACATATAACAAAAGAAAGCCATTGAAATAAATCCCATAAACCCTTCTTGAAATGATGTTTTCTGTAGTCTAAATATTCTGTGGGTTTTTCCCCCTGCTGTTGTACAACATTGCAATTACAAAGGGAGAGCTCTTTGTTCATTGAAGTTGACAGTTCATTAGTCAGTACTTATATTAGCTTGATTAATCAAATTATTTTTGCAGCACATTTGCACTTACAAATGTGTTTACACTTTGTTAGGGAGGAAAAGAGATGGATGAAGCCTTGGATCTCCTGTCCGATTCCCTGGGACAGAGGGAGCCTGACCCTGACGAGAACAAACCAGTTGTGGATAAAGTAAAGGTAACAAAAGACATTCTGAAACTTGACCAGTCTGGGGTGAGGTGTGGGAAGGAATAAACCAAACCAACAAAAAAACCCCCAAAATACTTCCCATATACCTGTAGGAATATATGGCATGAGATTTTGGAAGAGTAAGGTTCTTAGAAAAAAACTCCATACTCTTATGTTTCCCACATGTAAGCATATCAAACACTCTTCAGTCAGCTGGATTGTTTGCAGGTTTTGTGAAAAATGCTGAATTGGTTAATACATTTCAGCCACTTAGAGGCAAGTGTTGAAGTGTTACAGAAAATTTGAAACTATTTTATTTTAATGCTTTTTCTTGTCATTATTCTCATTATTTTTTATGTGTCTTCTTTGGCCTCAGTTTCTAAAATTAATTTTCTGGCTGAATTTTTCATCAGGCTTTGACTTTTATACCCACTAATACCAAGTTCATCAAGAGAGGTGTTCGTTTAGTCACTCGTATTTTTAAACTTGCTTGTTTATGCTTATTTTGGCTTCATTCAGTCTTTTTTCTAAAATTCTATAAAGACCCTTCTGTTAATAAGAAAATCAATTTCTGCATAAGAGTAGTAGTAAATTGTAATCTACAATACCTAAGGTAAAGAACATTACTGAGGGAAAACAAAGCCAACTTCACTTCATGATGAAATCCATATATGCTTTCTTCCCCAGTAGTTTTAAAATTTTAAAGTCAAAAAGGGCATCTGCCCCAAGTTTGAGAAGCTCTCTCACTTATTCTTTGCTAATATTTCTAATGTGAGTATTAAAGTTGTTAAAAAATTTAAATGCTTTCAGGAAAAGGCTAAATCTGAACACAGAGACAAACTTGGAGAAAGAGATGATACCATCCCACCTGACTATCAAAAACTTCTGGAGTCAGGTGATCAGGTAATGAAAAGCCTTAACAGTTTTTATTTGCAGCACTGGAAAATTGAGTGTATGACCCATTCTGTCCTCTTTGGAACTACAACATGAGTGAGTAAATGTCTGTACTGTATTTATGTGTTAGGGTTAAACATGGAAATATCCTGTAGTTAGGACAGCTCTAGCCTTGCATGCATGTAAGTCAAAAAACAACAACAAAAAAAGGCAATCCTGTTCTTGTTTTGTTGTGCTGCTTTTTTTTTTTTTTTTCAACTGGGCAGTCTGAACAAATAATTGCTTTGAACTACTCAGTAACAATCAGTGTCCTGGAGGGTTAAAGTGACATGAGCATGAAAGCACGGCATGAACTGGCTGTGAATACGTAGCAGGAGAAATACAGAAATAAGTTGAGAATAGTACAGGTTTCTTGATAATCTGTGAACACTCAGTGCTGTGTGTAAATACTTGTCTTAAACTAATCTGACCAGTTCAAAATGAAGGATGTACTCTTTCTTCTTCCCAAGGGTAAACCAGCAAAGCCAACAGCAAAGGATGACATAAACCGCAAAGGACAAAAGGTAACATTTATTATGTTATTTTATATATATATATATATATATATATATATATAAGGTTTTTTATATATATATAAAAAAGGGTTTTTTATATATATACATATATTCATTATATTTATTCTGTGTTTGGGTCAGGCTGTGGGCTCTGATTTATTTTCAAAGTAGTGTTACTGCAGGTTTAAGGTGTGATTCACTGCAAATACTCATAAATGCTCATGAATGCAGTAGGTAATAGTAACAGTGTGGGCAGTAAAACTTTTGTGAGGAATAACTCTTCACAATAAGTGCAGTTTTTCTGTACAACTGCACTGTGAGTGCTCAGGTCCGATACTTAAAGAAATCATGCCTCTTGGAATCCTCAAAATAGACATCTCTGTAACATATGTATACAGTTTAGGTGTGTTTTTCTTTAAGAAATGGATAATTAAAGCAGACATAAATTTCTGAATCATGAGTTGGACTGTGGGAAGTACTGCATGTTGTGTGACTTCAAAATTATTTCAGAAGCCTAGAGATGACAGCGCAGCTATTGATGCCTTATCAGGTGACTTTGAAACTTGTGCGAATGCTCCTGCTACACCACAGCCTTCAAAGGTAGGACATTTTCTGCTAATAACTTGCAAAATAAAGAGGTCTTCAATCCTCACTTTTCTCTGCAGTAGCTCAGTTAAGGTTTACAGAAGCCCTGTCCAGATGTAGGGATTGTCTTGCTACTGGAAATGGAGATTTGATGCATTTTGCTGTGTACTAAGTATTTGTTAGAAGGAAGGTTTGTGGTGTTTAGAGTCTTTTAGAGAGGTAAGACAGGGTTGGAGAGGTAAGTTGAGCAAAGAAGTAGGATAACAGTTTTTGTACAGATTAGAGTATCCACCAATTGTGGAGAGGCAAGGAATCCTTTCATCAGTGATGGCATGCACTGCCTAGCAATGGTTGTAGGCTGGAGCTGAGCAGCAGTTCAAGAGGGTTTTGCAGAGAGAAATGCTGGGAGCAGGGAAGAGTTTTAGGTGTGTTAGGGAAAACAGTAGAGCTGTCAAGAAAAATACAGAAGGTATGAACTGGAGAGGTCTTGCAATGAGAAAAAGAGCATTTATTTCACATATAATCCTCTTAAACACAGCTAACAAACAGCATTCAGACTTTTCCCAGCACATCTGTGATGTGTTCTAGCCTATGCCCTGGTCCCTCACCCCATCAGGCAGAAGGAATGATTCGCATTTTTTTATTGATAATAGTTTTTGTACTCTGCTGAGCAAAGCAGCTGCCCTTGTCTGTCAGCTGCTGCTGGCCTCTCCCAGCTCATGCCTCCCTCGTTTCCTACTACAGTGACCTCCTGCTTCTCCTTTGAGGAGTAAGAATTAACAAAGCTTGAATTCACTAGATCTTTGAACAAACCAGTATAATAGCTATCGAGAAATTAAATCCCTTGGTCACACGAAACTGTGGAAGCATAACCAGTTCCCAAGTGAAATTCTGCAGCAGCTTCCTTAAGCTTACACTGCAAGGCACCAAGAATTAGGAGTTTCTCCATTTTTAGGTGTTGGTTATGATTAGATGTGCTTTTATGCACTATTCTCTTTGTAACTGTAATTATTTTTTTTCTTTGGAGTGTAGGACAAAAGCGGAAAGGAAACCACGGCGACTAAACCAACCTCAAAGGACAAAGGAAAACCCAGAGACCCTAAAACGGTATAAACACACATACTATAGTGTGGACAGTCGTAGTTACCAGGCACTGTAAACATACAAGATGAGCAGCTGGATTTTAGATTCATGTCACATGACTGTTATTCTGGGGAAAATTTTACATCAATAGGTTGAAACTAATTCATTTTTGTAAACGTACTCAGAGGAGAAAGGTTCCTGCCTGTTTCAAGGGAAGTTGGCCAAAAAAATACTTATCTTTCAGAGAGTATGGTCTTCCACAGTGCATGCTCTACAGGCTTCTCCTTCCCAGATTTGCTGATCTAAGAGTCCAACTTCACATGCCTATAGCTGCCTCAGATGGGATCCCCATCACTTCTCTTTCTTGACAGTTTTGAGCAACAGCATTACAAAAGTGATTAGAAAGTACTCCTGCAATGACACTCAAGTTACTATCATAATTTATTTTTTTTAAATTAATGAAGACCTACATACAGTCGTAAATAAGTATGCAGAGTAAATCTGAGGGGAAAAGGCAGGCAGCTGTTTGTATATTCAAAAAAAAAAAAAAAAAAAGGAAAAAAGGGGGGAAAAAAAGACTACAAGGGTTGCTTGGCTTTTGTCATCCAGAAGCACAGAGAAAGGATTCAGGTAAGGGTGAAACTTCTCCCATCATGTTGTTCTCTCACAAGGATATGCAGGTAGAACCAGATGGTTAAATCTGGCCTGGAAATCCTACGTTTCACATGTCAAGTGATGAGATTTCTCATTGTTACTGTGAAATCGCCACAGGTGTCTTTTGTGTAACAACAGAACTGACAGTTCTGGTTGTAAAAGGTGGGGGGTGTCTCTAACTCCTCTTCAGGAGGGTGTTCAGAGCTGTGACTAAATTTTCTGTATTTCAAGTGCAGATCATGCTTATGTCTGAATTGTGATTCTGATGAGTGTCTGTCACTGTTTGATTTCAGATTTTTAGCTTAGTTCAGTTTCTCACTGTCTCATCCTCTCTTTAGGCAAAGGGACAGTCCTCCAGCAGCAAATCTGAGAAGCAGAAAACAAGCTAAACATTAAAACATTATCAGGTGAGATTTCTTCTTCCCTGGGCTACCACAAAAACAACTCATGTTCATGTTAGTAAGCCCAGATTTATGTCATGAGGTTTATTTCCATGTCACAGAAGACAAGCACTCTGACTTTTCTTTGGCTTTCTTCCCCCCAGGATCCTGGCACATCGTGTAAAATGTCTTCTTTCTGTGGGTGGATAGTTACTCCTGAGGAACAAAAGCTGATGCTGAAAGCACATGGTTATTCTGGGTGATTTTTGTACAGTGATACTTGCCGCACTTTTTTTTCATCTTTCCTTTTTCCCCGGTAGTAGGCTCAGGTGGTTTGTTTCTTTCCCTTAGCCATTCAGTTCATTAGACTCATATAGTCTGACTGTTTTGTAATTTCCTTCAGTGTTCAGAAGGAAAGAATTCTTCTATTTGCAAGAAATATATTCCACCAATGAAGAGCAATGCCAAAAAAAAAGAAAGTGCTGCAGACTTTTGCACATAATCTCCGCATAGTGCCTCTAACTCTCTGAAGAGTTCGTATGTGCTAGCATTTTAACATTGCAGTGAATGCCTTAAGTGTTCTGGAATATAGCGAGCTTTAGTTATCCTCAGCTAGGGCTGTGCAGGCTTTGCTCAGGACGGATCCTGGTAGGAAAACCGCAGGTCAGCTGTGGGTGGATAAAGGCTGAGAAACTGGGGATTTAGGCTGCTTCTTCCAGCACATCTGGTAATAAAGCAGGTATTTGGGATGCTGCTTAACTGTAGTTAAAATACACTAGGACAGGATTCCCCCCACCTCCCCAATTCCCCCAATTGTATCTGTACCGTTATATCATAATTTCAGGAGTCTCCTGGACTGAACAAACACAAGTCTTAGTGTAACAGTGACACTGCTACCATCGCAGAAGGGGAAATTGAGAAGGGGCAATGAGTCTTGGCCGAAATCGAAGTTTAGGTCCACAGGCAGACTCTTTTTTTGTTTAAATCTTATTTTGCACTGTTTCTGGTCCTTCTGTTCCTCGCACTCCAGCAGGGAATGCAGAAATAGGGCCGAAGTTAACGCTGCAGGGGACAATGTCCCATTCTCCTGCCCTGCGGGAGAACAGGCACGGGCAGGGGCCTTTCACGAGTCTGCTGCAGTCAGGGCTGTCAGGACAAGTGTCTCCGTGGGTTTCCCTCTGCCTTCCTCCCCTGCAAAACATCCTTTTGCTCATCCTTATACGTGTTACAGCTCCTCCCATCAGCTGCCAGAGGAAGGTCTCCTACCGACACCAAAACCCGGCTCAGGGTGTGGCCCTGGAGGCAGAGACAGCCTGGAGACTGAAGTTGGGGATATTTAGACTCGAGACTGTGCTTCCAGTGTGCACCGTACCACACTAATAAAAGTTTTTAAGGATGCACTGCGTCGTTCCTTAGCTTTTCATTTATCCCCTACTCGTGTGTAACAGCTGTTGTAAGGCAAAAGAAACACCCAGAAATCATCAAAAAACTCCAATACATTGACATATTAAAACTGAAAATTAAAATCACCCTATTGGTGATGCTCTGCGAAGCCTTTCACAAACTCATCAAAATCCTGCTACAGTTTTTTCCCTCTTTCCTTTGGATTTCAAAGCTGTATCTCAGTTAACTAGGACCAGATCTAACTTGAGAGGTCCCACTGTGCAAGGGAAGCAGCTGAAAGATCAAGACATGAGCCTAGAGTTTTCAGAAAAGAAATTACTTTGCTGGAGAAAATTCCAGTTAGAACTTGTGTTCAAATGTGCAAGTGTACAAATAATTAGCCATCACCTTTAGAGTACACCAGTGGGTTTTGACTTGTTGGGAAGGTGCAGTCGAGGTGAGAGAAGAGCAAGGCACAGTCAACTACTTAGGACTGATTCCAGATTGTTTTTTTCCCAAAGGCTTGACCTTTGTAAAAAGTTTACAGCTGCTTCAGCATCTCCATGGGGAAACTGAGGCAGGTTGAAAATAAAACAGCAGGGCCTCATATCAAAGGTGTGGTAGAAACAGCAAAGAAATAAGTATATTTAGGCACAAGAGGAGTTCATTGATTTTTTTTTTCTTTTTTTAAAGTTTAGAACAGAACTGAAAGTTTTCTGCAGGTAAACAGAGAAGATCATTCACAAATAAAGAAACTCTACCAATAAAAATTCCACCTCCAAGATTTCAGCTTCGCTTTCTTGACTAACAGTCACTTCTGGCATTGGAATGAGCTGCCCAGGAAGGTGGTGGATTCTCCCTCCCTGGAGGTATTTAAGAAGAGACTAGATGTGGCACTTAGCGCCACAGTCTAGTAACTGTGGTGGTAGTGGATCAAAGGCTGGACTTGATGATCTCAGAGGTCCTTTCCAACCCATCTGCTTCTATGATTCTAAGCCCAAGGTAGTAATTTTTTGCAGAGCAGTTACCTTCCAGTTCTCATTATTACCCAGCAGGTGAGATATAAAGACCCTTAGCAAAGACTTGAATTACAATGTGAGCCAAAATATGGGGCAAAGGATGATGCTGCCTCAGGACTGCCTGAGGCCAGCACCAATAGAATGCTCCTGCTTCCCACTTGCCTGCATCATCCATTCCCTAGAATCCTGCCGAGCCCACCCTATGCACAGCAGAAAGACACAACCCCTATGAATAACCAGCAACAACCATGAAGGGAAAAACAACCTTTGCGATGGAAGTCTCATGAGAGAGAAAACGGGTTCACCGCAGCTGGAAAGCTGTCATGGGGTGTTTTTGGTTGTAAATCCCTGCTGCCCAGAACATCCAGGCTGGGTGCGAAAGCAGAAGAAAAAAAAAACTCGATTAATGTCACTCACCCAGAACAACGAAAGGAAGGAAATTGTTTTCCTTAAGCCTCAAGCACTAACCACCCAGGAGAGGAAGAAAAACCTGCTATTTGAAAGACAGACTGGACTTCTGGAGTTAAAAGTGCTTGACTGTCAGTCCGATGTCTCCAGGCCAGCTGTGTCACCTCAGCATTTGTAGATACGGATACTTTACCACATCTGCCACATCTTCCACTCACTCTCAGCATGTTGAACTTCGGGCATGACGAGTCAGACCGCTTTGAGCACAACCCCAAAGGCAGCCGTGGCACCCCCTCTCAGCTCCGCTCCGGCCCGGCCCGGCCCGGCCCCTCCAGCCCGGCAGCGCCTCCTTCGAGGCCCGCGCCGCGGCCCCGCCCCCTACGCGCTGGGCACGCCCCCTTTCCGCTAGGGCTCCGCCCCTGACGCCCAGGCCACGCCCCCAAGCCCCGAGCCCGACTCTCATTGGCTGCCGCCTCCTCGCTGTTGCTGGTTCGTTGTTGTTGTTTCGTTGTTGTGCCAAACGGGAGCGAACCGGGAGCGAAACGGGCGTGACCGCAGTGGGAGCCCAGTGTGAGCCGAGCGTGTCACCTGCCGCTGACAGCTCTCCTCTGTCCCTGTCACCTGTCACTCTCCCCTGCCCCCGTCACCTGTCACTCTCCCCTGTCCCTGTCCCTGTCCCTGTCCCTGTCCCTGTCCGCTGCCGGCCCCGGACCGGCCCCAGCCCCGGCACAGCGCGACCAGACCGCGCTCCGCTGCCGGCCAGGCGCTGCCGGACACCCACACTCGCTCGCTCGCTCGCTCCCTCCACGGCCATGGCGCTGTGCGGCGGCCGCGGGCTGCCCGGGCTGGCGGGCACCTCCCCGGGGCTGTCCCCGCTGCCGCTGGACGCGGGACACCCGGCGGAGCCGGGCAGGTGAGGGGCTGCGGCGCGCTGGGGGGGGTTGCGAGGGGCCGCTTGGAGGATCTGGAAACCCCCGCTCCCTTCACTCCCCCGGGGAGAGAAGGGCCCACGCGCACGCCGGGGCACTGACCCTTCCCCTCCCGGCCGTCCGCAGGCTCTGGAACACCCCGAAGCGGTGGGGCGAGGGGCTGCCCCTGCCGTGGCTCTCGCCCACCCTGTCCCCGGAGCCGGTGGCCTCGCCCCGTCCCCGGGACTCCGTCTGCTCCCGGCCCTCGGATGCCGGTGAGTGACGGAGCTGCTGCGCCCCCACAACCGCCCCCAACCGCCCCCCGAGCCGGGGGTCGTGCACAGGGGGTTGCGGGCACTGTCAGGGGGTCCCCGCACGGGCAGGGAGGGCTTGGCCGAGTGCCTGCCGAGGGAGGTTGAGGCGGGGGCTGCCGGGGGAGGATGGGCAAGAACCGCCAGCTCTGCTCCCTGGGGCTCGGCAACGGACCAGCCCGCTGGGCTCCCTGGGCACGAGGACACGGGACACTCCATGCGCCACCGGTGCCACCCGCCTTGGGATCCTGGGGGGCGGGTTCAGGGCCCCCCGTGAGGGCACAGCCCTTGCCCCTGGCCGTGGTTCCTCGCCGGCGCTGGCTGCAGCAGAGGGCAGCTCAGCCGGCACGTGGGGGCTCCCTGCCCGGCCGGCTCCTGCCACGGGCCCTGGGCTGGGGGCAGGAGCCCGAGCCACACCCCGGGGCTACCCCTGCCCCTTCTTCCCGCAGGACTGGGACTGGACTCCCCCACACAGCACGACCTCGCGGCGGCGGAGGAAGCGTGAGTGCCCCAGCCCCACGGTCCCCCCGCCGACACCCCCTCGCCCTCCCTTGGCTCCCACGGGCACCACTGCCCGGGCTCAGCCTTACTGGGGAGCTGAGCATCCAGCTGTGCCCCCCCCCCTCCCCCCCAATCTCTTTCTGGGAGGTGAGAAGCCGGACTGCTTGGGCTGGGACATGGGGTGCCACTCCCCCTAAGCCCAGCTCTCCTCTGCCCACAGCTTCGAGAAAATGATCCTGAGTTGCAGCAGACTCCTCCAAGGGTAAGTGAAGGCGCTCTGTCCCTGTCCCAGTGACAAAAGCCAAGCTGTCCCTGTGCCCAGCCTGTCCCTGTCCCAGACCCAAAACCCAGCCTGTTCCCTTTCCCCTCCTGGGGTCCCGCTCACTTCACTCCACCGCTGTTTGCTCAGTGCCTGGAGGTGCTTTTGCCCCAGGGTCCCCTTGGGGAGCTGGCACAGCCCTGGGCAGGTCTCACCGCACTGGGAGGAGCTGGGGGACACAGGGTGCCACGGCACAGGGGTGGGACACCGCTGGTCCAGGACGCCTGCTCTCGTGTGAACCCTTTCCTTTGCCTGCTCCTGCAGCCCAAAGCTCCACCTGCGGAGGATCCGCTCCTTGCCGGTAAGTAACTAACTCCTGGAGGCTCTGCAGGGCTGAGCACAGCGTGGCCGGTTCCTGCTCTGTGCCTGGCCCAGCTGGGAGGAGCAGGATGGAGCCAGGAGAGGGCTGAGGGGGGCTGTGCAGCACCTCTCAGCCCTCCTCTGTCCCACAGCCGTGTGCTGTGGAGTCCAGCCCGATCCTGAAGGACATCTCCCGCTCCGGGGAGTTCAACGTCCGCAGGGGCCGAGTGCGGAAGGCCTGCAGGGAGCCCGAGGATGAGGTGAGGGGGGCAGCGAGGCGAGGCCTGGGGAGGGCAGGGCAGGGGCAGAGGGGCGCTAACGTTGTGCCTCCGCACCGCAGGAGGGCTTTGTCCCCAAGAAGCGGCCGAGGCTGGACCAGCAGAGCCAGCTGGCCGCCGGCCATGGGGCTGCCAGGAGGGACCCCCTGGCCACAAGACCCTGCTCCACATCCAACCTGCTGGTGAGAGGGGCTGCAGGGCTCGGGAGGGACCCGGGGCTGGGGGATCCTGGGGCTGGACACGGCAGCTCCAACTTCCCCGCCTGCCCTGGACACCTGTGGATGTTGCAGACGAAGGCGCTGGGGGGGTCACGCGCACACCCTGTCTCCAAATCGAGCGGGCATGGGGCTGGCCCCACTGCCCAGCTGTGGGGCCATGGCCCGTGCCTGTGGAGATGGATGGACCTTGGGCAGGGGACCTATCGCTGCCCGGGGCTGAGGGGCTGACAAGCAGCCAGAGGCACTTTTTCTCCTCACCATCTCCTCTGCTCTCCCCCGTGGGCCCCCCGGCCGCCGCCCTGGCAGAGTGATGCCACCGTGCCCCGGGGCACTGCTGAGAACGTGCTGACCTCGAGGATGCTGAGGAAGGAGGAGGCAGAGCTGGTAAGTTGAGGAAGAGCCCTGGGGCTTGGACAGAGCCCCAGGCTGCAGCCTCAGGGTTCTCCAGCTGGGGCCTCGTCCCCTGCCCTCCTGGTGCTGGGGGCTTGCTGGACCCCCGGGCAGCCACACGGGCTCTCCCCGCAGCGTCCGGGCAAGCGCAGCAAGTGCCGGCAGCTCTTCTGCTCGCACTCGGGGACCAGCAGGCCCATCAGGCCCAACCTGAAGCGGGCACACCCCCGCGATGAGGACACCCCTGTCAAGGCCAAGAAGCAGAGGATGGGGGCCGGCAGCCCCTGCCAGGAGGCGTCGTTGGAGCCGGTGGGTGACAGGGAAGCCCCAGGGGGAGATCCAGCCTGTCCCCAGTGGGACTGGGCCGTGCCCCGGCTCTGCTGGAGCCCCTGCTCACATCGGGCGCTCTCTCCTTTGTACCCGCACAGGAAGAGGGGCTGCAGCATTGCAGGTCTGCCCAGCGTGAGGAGATCAAGAGCCCGCTGGACAACGATGACCAGGACCTCATCGGGGACTTCTCCAAGGTAGGGCCACGAAGACAGGGATGGTCTGCAGGTGCTGCCCCCCTTAATCTGAAACAGGGACCACCATCGGAGCCCCGCACGGGTGCAAGAGCCCAAACTAGCTGCTGGCACAAACTGCCTGGGGAAATGGGGCCTTGGGCCTGTGACTTTCCTGTGCCTGCAGCCCGCAGAGTGGATGAAGAGCCCAATCCCTGCTCCTCTGGAGCCACCGAGGTGCCATAGCCACGTCTGCCATGGGCAGACTCTTCTCCTCCCCTGCGTAAACAGAGCTGGCAGCTGGGCAGGGTTCTGGGCTGGGGGAACAGGTGGCACCCTCTGGGAGGTGTCCCTGGGAGGCACAGGACCCCAGAGCCCATGGTCTCCTCCAGGCTCACCTCCTGCCGATGGTGGAGGGGAAGGACCCCGGCCTGAAGTACATCTCCCCTGACACGGTAAGGGGGCAGCAGCCTCTGCCCAGCCCCCCCGTGGGGCTCCCTGCCTGCTCCCCCACCGCCCCCCAAGCGTTCCCCCTTGGTGACGGGCTCCCCCCGCAGTTGGTGGCAGTGCTGACGGGGCAGTGGAGCAGCTTCCTCCAGAGCAGCATCGTCGTGGACTGTCGCTACCCCTATGAGTACGAGGGGGGCCACATCAAGGTCAGAAGGGCTCCTGTGCCCTCTGGGGCTGGGAGGAAGGGGGGTGTCTGAAACCCACCGAACCTCGGAGATGCTCACCCCCCCACTTAAGGTCAAGCAGTCCCCCCAGGAGGTGCCGAGACCTCCCCAGAGGGGCTAAAGAGCCCCCCCCAAGGGTCACCGGCGTTCCCCAGAGGCCAAGCCCACGCGGAGGGGTTGATCCCCAATTGGAAGGAGGAGGGGGATGGTGCCCAAGTAGGCTGGGGGATGGTGGTGGTGGAGGGAGACCGGGGGCAGTGTCCCGGCATTCCTGCCGACTAAACAGGAGGCAGACGGGGAAAAAGGTGCCTCCTGTCCCTCCCCAGGGTGCTGTCAACCTGCCCCTGCAGCGGGATGTGGAGCGATTCCTGCTGGAGCAGCCCATCCTGCCCCTGGAGCCCAGCAAGAGGGTGATCATCATCTTCCACTGCGAGTTCTCGGCTCACCGCGGGCCCAAAATGTGAGTGGGGCGACGGCGGGGCACACTGGGCTCTGCCAGCCCCCCAGGCACGCCCGCATCCCGGCACGGCCATCATGCCGTGGCCTTTCCCTGTGCCCCAGGTGCCGCTTCCTCAGGGAGAAGGATCGCTCCTGTCACGAGTACCCCCAGCTCCACTACCCCGAGCTCTATGTCCTGAAGGGCGGCTACCGGGATTTCTTCCTGCAGTACCCGGTGAGTGCCCCCACTGCGTCCCCTCGGCGGGAGGGCGTCCCCGTCAGCAGGCCGAGGCCTGGGGACATGAGGGGGGAACCCCCTGGAACCCCTGCTCGGCCCAGCAGGGAGGGGGAGCTGTGGCTCCGAGCATCCTCCAGGAGGGCACGGATCTCCAGGGCCGGGGGGCCGGTGGCGCTGGCTTTGCCCCGGGCTGGCTGGGGACCGGGAGCTGCGCTCCGCTCGCTGACAGGGCCGTGGCTTCCCAGGCACTCTGCGAACCGCAGGACTATCGGCCCATGGAGCACCGCGCCTTCCAGGAGGACCTGCGCCAGTTCCGCTGCCAGAGCCGGCCCCGGGCGGCAGAGCGCAGCCGGCCGGACTTCTGCAGCCGCCGCCTGCCCCGCTGAGCGCTCGGGGGCCCGCAGCCCCTCCGTGGGCAATGGGCGACCTGCCGACTGCGAGGGCTTCCCTTGGCCGGGCAATGTGCCTTGGCTTGGCCTGCTTGGTTAGGACTCGTTGAATGTCTTGATTATTGTTAGGAGTGCTTTAATGTAGTAGTAATTGTTAGGAGTGGTTTCATGTCTTGGTTATTGTTAGGACTGGTTTAATGTAGTGGTTATTGATAGGATTAGTTTAATGTCTTAATTATTTGTTAGGATTGGGGTTTTGTGCCTTCTTTATCGTTAGAATTGGTTTATTGTTTTGCTTATTTTGTTTGTGTCTTTTTTTATTTTTAAGATTGTTTCTTCATTTCTGTTACGGAATTCATAAGTTTTAAGGAAGGAAGGAAAAAAATGTTGGATACTCAATTAGCTACATAGAATATTCCTGAACTAGTTTGGTTTGTGTAAAATCAGTGCACAAAGTCCTTCATAGCATCAAATGACTTCCTTAACTGTAAATGAGGCAACCACTTTAATCACAATCCTGTAAAGGTATTCCACGGTTCTTCATTTCCTTTATAGACAAAAAGTCACCCCCGAGGAAATGTGTAATACTGACAAGCAGCAGAACTGGCTTCCAATCTGTTTGCTTTTTTCTTGCTGTAAAATTTGCCAGCACAAAATTCTTTATACTACGATTTGAGCCAAAACATAAGAGAAAATGTCACTGGCAGAATGGATAAACATCATAATACCTGAGATTTATTTGTATTTTGTTCCTCTTTGACAAGGCTTTTGCTATTGCTTCTAGCAGGACAGCTACAGCAAGCTATAGTAACTTTGCTCTTACTGCATATACAACAGATACAGAGTGTATGACAAGTTTCTTTTTCAAAATTATTGCTTGAATTTTTAGCTGAAGAAAAAGCATTTCTTCCCCTCAACAGCAGAGGAATGAATATTTTATGGTCAGATCTTGCTGGGTCAGCTAGATCTCACTCCTTTAGCAATATGGTTCCAGGCTGCAATATTAATATTATGGCGGGTTTTTTTTAGGGGAGCATTTATTAATGCAGCTTCCCTGAAAAACAAACAAACAAATGATCAAATTATCCCTCTAGCAACTAGGTTACTTTATATTAATAACAACAACAACAAAGCTTTAGATAAAACTCAACTACTTTTAGATTTAATTTCACAGACAGGAACTACAAAATGATCAGGCATCATATGCACAGGGGATAATACAAAAGCCATATTTCTTGATTTATATACCATGGTATATAAATCCATGAAGAAACAAATGATTCTGCTTTCTGGATTAGAGCCTTGAATGGTTTAAATAATGGAGAGTGTAGCCATTGCTCTTTCTTGTGCCAGCCAGCTGGACTAAGCCCAGAGAAAGTCCTCCTTCACAAAGAGCAGCATACACACCCTTCCAGCCTGGAAAGTGCTTTCCCTGCAGAGCCAAGCAGTGGATTGTTAGACTTTTGATGCTCCAATAATGCTGTCAAAGACTTCAGGCTGATGTCGATGAAATGATTTACAGTAGCCTTAACATTTATGGAAAGAAACTAATTGTAATTATAAACACATAAGAAAATAATTTTATTTTTTTCTGTATGTTTTTTTGGTTGTTATTACATTTATGACTTTAAAAAAATAAGACAGACAGCACTGCCCTGGGGTTGCTTCATAGCTAGAGGCTGGCATGTTTCACAGGAGAGGTAAATCCACCTCTGAGCCTTCTCCTCTTTCTCCCACCTTGCACGGCCTTGCACCTCATCTATCAGCTTTCTGATTATACCATGGAATGGAACTAGGGCTCAGGTTTGGAATGTATTTCCAGGATTCAGCCTGTACATTTTGAGTACTTTCAGATGCAAGCCTCCATTTTTAACTGCTGAGCAGCCTCCTAAAATGGATGTTTATAATAAAATTGAACATTTTCAGCCGGTATAACTTAATTGCATTAAATTACAATGCATTAGTATGATATACAGGCACATTTTAGAGGTGGTAATGGTTGTTTTCCAATAATGTGTCCTAATCATCAGCAAAGCCGTGCTCACACTGATCTCTAACCCTTTTGGAAGCAGCTGATGGTCATGTACAAGGCCAGGTGCACTTACAAGAAAACGTGCTCTTTGTTCACAATCTGAAAGCACTGCTTAAACATTAAGTGTTTTTATACAATATCTGATGATCTGTTAAAATATGGATTAAAAAAAAGATAATGTTAAACAGAATTAACTTTCAGTAAAGTCAGTGTTACCACACCAGTTTGGCTGTCAAACAGTACACTTCTGCTCTTGTAATTATGAAGGAGTAGTTATTTAGTTATTAATTTTTAGTGTGGGTCTACATTCTTTGGGTCTACAGCAAAATAACAACACAACAAGCCTGACTCTTTCTCCAGGAGTCTTTACAGCCTACACTAAAAGCTTCATTAAGCTTTTGTCCTCCCAGAGTGTCCAGCTACATATTCTGCTGCAGTAAAATAGCGATAATATCACTAAATACTTTGTATTACAGAAAAATGTGTAACATCACAAGAAATGGGTAATAAAACTTAATTCAGCATTATGGAACTTAAAATTACAAGTGTTTCTTCATTCTCAAAATGTACAGTAGAATTTCATGCTGCCCTAGATATTCATAGACTCTGAACCTTTAACCACTGCAATTTATACTTGACCATTTGCATTTCACTTCAGGGGCACATTTGTGCTGTAAGCAGCACAGTGCAGAGACAGTGATTTTTGGCTTAGGTGACTTTGTGCACCCAGTGCAGAAGTGAATCCTATAAACACAAACTCATGACATGAAAGTGTGCAGTGATAGAATCAAACAGCACCTCATCCTTGGACGGATGTGTTTAGTTCCATTTCCAGGTTGGAACCACTAAAAAGCTATTATGGTTAAAAACATAATGTCAGGCCACAAAATCAACTTAGCCCCACCCTCCCAAGTGTTCAAAGTATTCATTACACAGGTTAAAAGTATGACTTTCTAATGCTAGCAGTAATTTTCTTTTCCTTATCTTCTCCCCCCAGCAAGTCTGACACACACTGTTTCTGACTTCACGAACCCTTTCAAGACCTCTGATAAAAATCACGAGGTCATTCTTTTTAACTTTTTGTCTATTGTGTCTCTCTATTTGTACCTCCTAACATTTTTTTAAAGGCCTTGCTGAGTTATGAAGCCAGCTATGAGCTATGTCTGGTCATTTTTCATTCAAAATGCCTGGCAAAATTATTTTTGTATATTAGCTACTAATACAGAAGTATTTTTTCTCAGCTCTCTGCTGTGTTTTGCATTGCAAGCCTGCCTTGGAAAGCAGAACAGCTTTGTTCTATAGATGAACAGGATATCCTAATGCTGCAGAGAGGCTGGAAAAAGTGAATTTACACAGACACTCTTTACAACATTGCTCTGGGAATTCTCTTACTCCAACATGCAAATGCACCAAGCCTGGCACAGGGGCCTTGTTTCTTCCAGTTCAGCATATGCAGAACTCTACATCTCCTTGTCCAAAGCCTCCTGGAAGCAGAAAGGGTGTGGGGGTGTCAGTAAGTGGGTCTGTGTCAAGCCGCCTGTTGACTTGAGGTCCCAAGTGGAGGTAACAACACAGAATCATTGAGGTTGCCCAAGACCCTTAATAGCTTTGAGTTCAACTGCGCTTCCAGAGGCACACAAGTCACTGCACCATGTTGGGGCTGACCCAGGCTGTCAAGTCCTGTTCAGACCCACTTAGGGCCTTTGGGAGCAAGAGAAAGTCTCTGGAACTGACGAGCTAAGCTACAGCCCCTGCAGCTGAACCAAAGAACCAACCTGTGCCAGTATCACTTGCCCCTGCACACAAAAAGAAATGGACATAAAAGGCATCTCTTTTAGTAAAGGAGGACAAAGCAGGCTAAGCAAGGCTATCACAGGAGCAGGAGCGAGAGGCAGAACAAGAAATATCCAGTTGATCCCTATCCCTGAGTGAGCTGCAGGAGAGACAGCAAGATTTCAGCCACCATCTAGCTGAGCACATTATCACCTGGCTGCTCTGATGCTGGGATAATGTGGCTAGTGGTTTGGAATCAGAGGGTAATGAACCCAAGCAGCTGGGGTCACTTTCTAGGGAAGCAGGCATCAACAAAGAGACTGGAAAAGAATGACTTGTAACAACTAATGACATCCTTGTACTCTTTGCAGAGGAAGAGGTGAGAGTGCTGAAGACACCCCCTCCCCCCGATATAATAAATTATCTGAAAGTGAGAAACATTATGCCTTGTTTAATAATGCATCCCTGTACTGTAGTAAAGCAGCAGAGAGAGAAAGAGGCTGTACGAGCTGTGGAAAATGCTTTTACTATTATTGTTGTGTTTATTACAATTTCTTCAGGAAATTGGGACTCCATCTTATAATCTCTCCTAGTATTTTTTCCTGCAGTATTGAAATGGAGGAGTTTGAGTGGGCTTGGTTTTCCCACTGAGTTTCAAAACCAGCACAAGTGGTAAATGCACCTGGGCTGGCACACTGTCATGAGATATTGTTGCCTGGGTGGAGAATCTGTTTGTAAAGGTGCATCACCTTCACGTACATCCAAATAATCAACAGGTGTCTCCAGCTGCTAACAGTGAAGTGGATTTGGATTGGCAACATAATGATGAGTTATTTCTGTCTTGGTGTGCCCATGACACCTTGGGCCATCAAGGAGGAGATGCAACATATAAATGGGCTCATGATTGAGGGGTGGACTTAAAACACGGACACTGTCGCACAGGTTATCCATGAATGTGAAACATGCAGTGCAGTTAGGCAAATCAAGTGTTTAAAGCCTCTCTGCTATGGAGGGCGATGGCTGAAATATAAATATGGGGAGCCTGGACAGATTAACTATCTCACTCTCCCACAAACCCACCAAACCCACCAAAGCAAATGCCGTGTACTTGAAATAGTAGAAGCAATCACTGGATGGCTGGAAACACACTATCCTGGGCCTTCAAACATGATATTTCAAAAAGAATTGAGGACTCATTTCCAAAACAATCTTATAGACACTTGGGCCAAAGAAAGTGGCTGGAGTGTCTACTGATGCTGAGAAAAAGTGGTGGCAGTAAAATTCAATAGCCACAGGTGCTATTAAGCAGGTATTTCTTTATTTCAGTGCCAGATGCGTGGGGGATAGCTCTGCCTAAAATGCATCTGCTCCCCATTCCCAACTTCTGCTTTATACAGTGACTTCATGCATATTTTTACATATTCATGGCCCTTCCCAGAGGGATGGTATATTTAAACCTTGGGACACTCTGGCGCCTGTGCACTTCTTCCCCGTGGTCGTCTCAGGTGGCCGTGGGGATAAAGGCTCGAACTCTACCTCCCTCTGAACTCTCCACCTTGTTCTCAGAGCATGCGCAGTCCCTCAGCCCCTTCCCCCAGCGACAGCTCCTCATTGGCTGCCCATCTGCTCAGCTCCTCATTGGCCGCTCATTTGCTACATTTTGCTCAATACACGCCCTCTCATTGGCTGCCCCTTCGCGCCATACGCAGCTTTCCCATTGGCTGCTGATTGGCTGCTCCTTATTGGCTGCTTACCAGCAACAAGGCGCTGTCTTAGCAACAGCACAGGAATGGCAGAAGTACACTTATTAAGTTACACAGACTGGTATTTTCCCTTATCAGTATATCACATGTACCAGCATCTAGGAAAATTGAAAATAAAAGAAATGTTAAAGGCTACTTGGAGAGCAGTGGATGATGGGACCCTCAAACACTGGGATACACATTTAGCAAAAGCCTTGTGGGATCTGCAATCAAGCTGGCTCTGCCCCATCAAAACCCTATGTACCATAGAAGGGAATAAAGTTCCTGTTGTGCACATTAAAAATATACCGAGGGAAACAACCTGGCTTATTCCTTTCTCAAGCAAAGGCAAGCCCACACATGAGACTACTTTTGCTCAAGGACCTGGGTGAGTGCAGTTGGTGGGTCATGTAGGAGGATGGGGAAGTTCAGTCTGTGCTTCAAGGGTATTTGATTCTGGGTAAGGATGAACAATGAATTAAAATGTGTGATGTTAATTGCTATATAATACTGCATATTATGATTTCCATGGCACCCATATGCCCATTACCACCCTGGGTGCCTTGCAATGCCTGTCTCTGCAACTCCACATTTGGGGATCTGAACCTGACTCCCTTTTGATTGTCACATTAATGAAGAATGAACTTTGACGAGAGTGACGGAAACTGAACTGGCGTCAACATAAGACAAATCCACACCGTCTTTCCTATCCTGAAAGACTGTTATGATAGATGGAGCCCAAGGTCATGGACTGAGTGAACTCAGTGGACTTTTACAGAGAAGGTCCACAGACTAATGATAGCTGTGTATATACATATATTAAAAGACAGGAAAGATGCACTGGGAAGTGTAGAACCTGGCATAACATAAATGGTATGGAATAAAGGGTGGATAAGGCCCTGGTTTCAGCTGGGAGAGAGTTAATTTTCTTCTCAGTAGCTGGTGTAGTGCTGTGTTTTGGATTCAGTATGAGAAGGGCTTACTCTAAATTGAGGACTTTACAGTTTTCCATGCTGTGCCAGTGGGTAGGTGGATAATAAACTGTCAGGGAGCATTGCCCAGACAGGTGAGCTGAACAATCCAAGTGTTTCAGAGAACATCATTCTCTGTATATGAACCAGGGGGTGTTGGCTGGGAGAGGCTGATCGCTGCTGAGAGCTGGGCATTGATCAGCGGGTGCTGAGCAACTGTACTGTGCATCACTTGTTTCTCTTGGGGTTTGTTCATCCCCCTTTCTCCTTTTCATAACAATTATTAGTAGAATTAAAAGCATTACAATCATCAAACTGTTCTTATCTCAAGCCATGAGATCTTTCTGATCTCTTCCCCATTAGGAGTGGAGGAAGGCGGCGATGAAGTGAGCAACTGCTCACTGGGTACATTAAACAGTGGAAGAGCTTTATCAAAATAGAATTTGCTCCCCGAAAAAACCCAGAACCCTGAGTGTGCAGGTCTGAACTTCCCAGAAGTGCACACCTCAGTACAAGGCATAGGCAGCATCGTGAGCCTGAACAGCAACAGCTTTGTCTGCTATTCTGTTCCTTCCTTTGTAGTCACAGTAATGAAATCTAGGGGGAATTAAAAGTATCCTGACTGCAGAGTCCGTCACCCACCCATTATAATGTGGCTGTGAAATACAGAACCACTGACTAGCAAGGACAATCAACTAATAAAATCAGTGCTTCATCCTGACCCTATTTTAAACAGGCTGCTGATAGAGTAATTTTGACATGAATTTAGCATGACAGGAAATGGACATTCCATGAAACTCACTGTGTGCTCATTTAAGCTGTTGTACAGAGAAACCAAGAAGTGATATTCGTTGTGGGCTCTCACCAACAGGAATTTCTCTGCAGGATGCTGTGCTGAAAAGCAAATTTTCTGTGTGGTACCCTTCCCTGAGCACAGCCAACAGGGCATGGTTACAAATGCCATCTGCAAAGGTTCCCTCATGGACCTCCGCTAGGAGAGGGATTGCTGCTGTCCAGCATCATCCTCCATAAATAATTCCATTCTGTTCAACT